ATTTTAACGGATTTGGTGCCATTTCTTTCTTTTGAACCAATATTTCAACGAGGTAGAGTGTGTCTTTAGTCTGCTTGAAATTTCATATTTTTTAGACTGAAATACAGCTTAGTTACTAAGCTTGATAAATTATAGTGGAATTCTGTGGTATCAATACAGTAATTTATGATTTTTTGGATATTCAACTGTATATATAAAACCAAATGGGCACGGCTGAAAGGTCAATATAATAAATATATACAAATGTATAATGTTACGAGATTTAAGCTATTTAGTCTAAACATTTATCTTTTCGTGTTATAATTTGTGTTCATTCTAGAATGAAAGAGGCATAATTTATATTTATTTCCTAATTTTTTATGGTGGTTCTGAGATTGGACAAATCTACCAAACTCATACAGAGATTTCTTACTGAAAATAAGAGATAAAATATGCATTTTTTTTGTTAAGAAACATTTGATAACCACCTGGACATTATGAAGATTTTTGTGTGCGACATTTCAAATCTTTCTGATGCATAAAAGTATTTTTTATCTTAAAATGAATATTACTTTGCATGATAAATAGGCAACATATGAAAAGAAAAACATTACTTTATAAACCTTAAGACTTAATAAAAATATTTGATATTTTGCGTATGAAAGCATTGTAATGTTTACTGATAATCTGCCAAATTTCGTTAACATTTGCTTACTAATTTAAAAGTTATAGCATGAAACCTATAACAAGCACAAAATGGTTATGAGGTCAGTCCCAGGGACTGAGCTCGTGCTGAAAGAGTTAATATGTCTTCTATACACAAATGTGCACTACAGAATTAAAAAAATAAATAAATACAAATGACCTCACAGGCTTTGGCACTTGAAGGGTGATCTTTTTTACAGCATTCAAGTCTTTTTTTGTCATACTTTATACTAATAGTTAAATCATGAAAACAACAAAGCTTTCAAACTAATAATAGGAAGATATTGGAAAAAGAAGATACCTTATAAAACAAAAAGTGGTTTAATTAAAATTAAGTGAAACCATCAGGACTCTTGACTATAATAAAAATACCCATTTAACTGGTAGCTTGGCTAAACTTAGTGGGTTCTTACTAATTCAAGTTTTAGGTATGTTCAGTGATGCTATCATTTTCTGAACATTACATGAACTTATACAAGTCTGAGATATGTTCAGTTATACTAGCAGTTTCTGAACGTTACACCTAACTTGAATTAGTTTTAGGTGTGTTCAGTGATGCTATCAGTTTCTGAACATTACACCTAACTTGAATTAGTTTTAGGTGTGTTCAGTGATGCTATCAGTTTCTGAACGTTACACCTAACTAATTGTTCAAGTTAGGTGTACAAATTCTTCATAGTATAAAAGCAAAGAAATTAAATACTTAAGTTTGAAAGTTTACTGCTTATAATTTTGATTAATTAATGAAAAATAAATGTTAAATGAAGTTCAATAGCTATGATTTCTACTTTTTAATATACAAATTCATCTTTACAACTGAGAATTACATCAGTGAACATGGTTGTGGTATATCAAATAAGGTTAGTGCAATAAATACACAGCTGATGTGCATCCAATATACTCCGACGTTTTATGTATCTACTGGTTATGTGAATAGAAAACATGAACTGTTATATATACATGGATATTCATCTTGAAAATGCCTACTTCATTTTATCCTTGCCTCAAAATTTTTAATTGTTTTGGATTCATAAGTGCTTTTGTTTGCGAATTTCATCTGTGAAAGATAATCACATAATACTAAACTTACTTAGCTCTTTCTGTCTTGGTTGGTATGGTTCATCACTTTCAAGAAGAGGAAACTCCTTTCGGGCACTATCAACTGACCTGGCTGAAGTGGCCTGATAGCTGCGAGAGCTGTTGCTGTTACGAGGACTATACATTGGAGCACTTGTGTCTGTGTAAATGGAAATAAGCTGTTACATCCTGGCTTAAAATTCATGATTTGCAAAGTTTTTTTCTTATTGTGATCACTAACTAATACCATACAAGTATAATTAAAATATGCTAGCATGTATAATAAACTTTGTTCTTTAAAATACTTATTTACTTGGGAAACAAAGTTACAGTATGTTTACTTGTAATACTGAAATTCAGAAACTCAAGTTACCAAAATAAAATTAAGTTAACAAACTACTAAAGAAACAACTTAAATCTTAAACACAAAACAAATTATTTTAGAACTGTCAAGTTTAATATTATTTGAGAAGCAAAAATACTTTTGTTCTACCTCAGAATTTTCCTTCATTCTGTCTCTCAACAAATACCATAACACAGAAGCTTCATGTATATTTGCATCACCAGTTAAAGCTATTTTACGCCAAAGTTTTGATTATTCAGTACATAAACAAAAACTTCAGCAACCTGTGAGCAAAAAATCAACTGAATCAAAAATCCTACTTTATTAGGTTAGGCTACCTCATGTTATGTTAATTTGCTACTTAACTTGTGAACATCAGTTATCGCTATATTAGTACTTACTACTACTAGCAGATCCTTCTCTTGAGGTTCGACTACTACTACGACGACTTCCTGGGCGGCTTCCACTATTAGCTCTCTACAGAGTAAAATTTTTTAAACCTCATCAGTACCAATTTTCACATAGTTTTAACACAATAAATATATAAAACATCCATTACTACTGACACTTATTCATAGTTAAACTGCTAAAGAGTGCTTGGGGAACTTTGTTTTTTCTTTCCAATATAGATTTAATTGGTCAAAGAAACATCTTACTATTTTTATACATGTATACCTGAGTGGCTAAGTGTATGTTAATAACAATTACATAATTCAGACTTGAAAATAGTGTTAACAATTTTGTCTGTCTTAGCCATTATTAAGCAAAAGATAAAATTGTAAAATCTAAGGTCACCTAGACTGCCTAAGAATAATTGCACACATGATGACTCTTCTCCTTAAGATAACCTAACTTCATCTTAACCCCTTATTTTAAGATATTCTAACTTCCTTCCTTTAAGATAATCTAACTTCAAGTCAGTATCTTCCTTTCAGATAATCTAACTTCAAGTCAATATCTTCCTTTCAGATAATCTAACTTCAGGTTAATCCCTTCCTTTAAGATAATCTAACTTCATTAAAGGAAGGGATTAACCTGAAGTTAGATTATCTTAAAGGAAGGGATTAACCTGAAGTTAGATTATCTTAAAGGAAGGGATTAACCTGAAGTTAGATTATCTTAAAGGAAGGGATTAACCTGAACTTAGATTATCTTAAAGGAAGGGATTAACCTGAAGTTAGATTATCTTAAAGGAAGGGATTAACCGATAATCTAACTTCAGGTTAATCCCTTCCTTTAAGATAATCTAACTTCAAGTCAATATCTTCCTTTCAGATAATCTAACTTCAGGTTAATCTCTTCCTTTAAGATAATCTAACTTCAAGTCAATATCTTCCTTTCAGATAATCTAACTTCAGGTTAATCCCTTCCTTTAAGATAATTAAAAGTTATGCTATTTAGAAATCATAAAAATTATTTGGTCAACACATCAATGGTTTCAGAAAATTAGAAACTCCATGTGTCAAAACTGTGTGTAGAATACAAAATCATCATAGTGTATATTTCTTACTGAAATTAAAAAAAAATTCTTAGTTGTAATTTGAAACTTGATAAATTTGGTTGAGGTCATATACATCTGATCATATATGTAAATAGTGTGGAAAACGTTATATTATTCACTATAATCAAGCAAATTTACCTTATAAGTTAAGCTGTTTAAAGTTACACATTACTTTTTGTTATATCTTTATAATGTGATAAAATGAGAAGTTAAATAAAGTTTTATATATTAATAAAAATACAGATAAATTATCCAGTCAACATGTAATGACTGGTAATGTTTAGATACTGTTGACTGCTTTTTCTAATTGTTCCCCCAATAACCAATTACAGATCATATTTCCTAGTCTAATATTATTTCACTATTAACCTTTAATAACTAACTCACTCATTCTACTGCAACATTAAAACACAGTTTTCAATTTTACTTGTCATGAGACATTAGTATTGGGCTTATTACATTTTCAAATGCTTCATTTTTAATCTAATCCCTTAGGGATTTGCAAGAATTAGAGGAGTGTATAATAATAGTATTTCAACCACACTGTATTTGTGATATCCACTGTTTTAACTATTGCTGTAGTTGTTATATCCCAGCTGGTTTGAAGAGCTCTGGATTGAGCGAAACATCGTCGGCAATGGATATGAGAAATGTAGTGTGGTTGGAATACTATTATTATACACTCTTCTAATTCTTGAAATTCCCTAAGGGACTAAATTAAGAATGTAGTGTTTGAAAATATAATAGGCCTAATACTAATGTTTTATGACAAACATAATAGTAATCACTCTTTGTTGGCTTGTAAAAGGTATACACACCAAAACAAAGTAGTTTACCTGTTCTTTCAGTTCTTTAGCCTTCTCAGCTTTTTTGAGTTTAGTGGCATACTCAGAAGCTTCCTTCAGTCCCATGTCAGTACAGAGCCGAACAAGAAACTTCAAACCTAAAAAAACAAAAATATATTCACAACATATATCAAGTTTAATCTTTTAATTTTCGTTATTTTAATCAGTAACCACAAACTTCAGGTTTTAAAGAAACTATAGTAGGGAAATGAAATTGTTTATCACAAGATATTAAAATAAAACTTGCACCAAATAAAATCACATGAGGGTAAATATATGGCCAATTTTAAAGCTAGAGTTTTCATGTAACCATGCTTCTTCAACCTATGAAAGTTATCTAAACCTTAATTTCAACAGAATTTATCAGTGTACTGATAAATATCTAATATTAAGGTTAAATAAGAGGAATAATTTGTCTGCACAATTTATATTTATAAGGTTTAACCACAAGAAATGTATGCTTTAGGATAGTTTATCATGAAATGTAAAAGCTTCTCTATGCTGCAAAAAATGTGATAAAGATCTGGCAAAGAAACTACAAAAACAGTGTATGAGTGAACTCAATCATAGCCAATTTTAAATCAAACACAAGTCCTATATGTGACAAATTACACCACCTCAACAAATCTCAGTTAGTTATTACTTTCATCTTGTTGATAAACTTGGTCTTGAAAAGAAAAAACATAGAAAGTTAAAAGTTTCTTCCTTGTGTCTTTTTTTTATATTTCAGTCTGGTTATACTTTTTTCTTAGATAATAAGCCCCAAAACGAAAATGGACAAACAACAACAGTGCAATATTGCATGTGGTTTAGGTTAACGAAACTAAGAGACCAGATGGCTTGGATTGCCTAGGACCCAGAAACCAAAGGGCTACAGCCTGAAGGTGTTCAGAGAAGAACCTGCCTCAGAAATAATCAATCACAGTGCATTCTCTTTGTATGTCAAAATAGCTAAAACTTAAAAATAGCTAAAAAAACAGTTGAAAGCATTAAGAGTCAAAGAATTAAAACCTAACATAAATAAAACATCAAAAGCACTTTTGATATTCATATTAAATTATTTACCTAGAAACAAACCAAATAAAGTTAGTGTCATCTCAAATAAAATTATTTGAGTAGACATATATGTAATTTGAAAGTATTTATTCTTTGACCACTGTATGTGATCATGCCACACTATGAGAGACAAAATCTACTATTTCACCAATAGCTGTTTCTTAAAACATTTTAAAATATACTTTATCATAAAAATACTACTTTTTTATAACTGGTATGACAGAATTTCAGGAAGTATTTAATACAAGAAACTTTTGGGCCAAAACATCAAACTGCTTACATTCAATATTGTCTGGGAACCTGCGATGAATAGTTTTGTACGTGTTCAAGGCTTGTTGGTAGTTTCCACTTCTTCGATGGCAACTAGCCACCATAAGTTGCCACTTGACTTGGTTTGGTCTGAGAGGAGTTACATTTACCAGAATTAAACATAAAGTGGCAAAAGAATAAGCATGTGTACATTACAATACTCAAATTACATCAGAAAATTAGAATGAAAAAAAGGTTTTATTTCAGTGATGGGGTTGAAAAGCTTGCAAGTTTATATTAACATGATAAAAAAAGAGTTATGTAAGTATTCAAAACTACTAGTCTAGAATGAATTTTATATGGATATTAAAGAGCTTAAAATTAAATTTTGGTTGTTTGTTGTTAAGCATTAAGCTACACAATAGCATATCTGTGCTCTATCAACTGTGGGAATACAATCCTGCATTTTACTGTTACAAGTCCTAAGACTTAATGCTAAGCCACCAGAGAGCTCCAACTAAATGAATAATCTGTTTAGAGCAACACAAGTTTGTTTTGTTTGTTG